AAGACGTATCCCTTTGAATGTTCTGAATATCTTATAAAGATACATTTCTTCCCCTTTGGACCTAATTTTCCATATTTATGGGAAGATCATGAACATAGGCAGCACATCCCCATGGCTTTGGAGACTCAAATCGGGTTTCCGATTTGTCCATAACTCATATGGTGTAGTAGTAAGATTTGGATGGTACTCGATTGAGGATATTGTGGCAGTCAATAAGGCATCACCCCAAAGGTGATGGGCAAGTTTGCTTATGCCATCATAGACCTCACCATCTCAAGTAGGGTTCTGTTTCTTTGTTCTGCAACACCATTTTGTTGCGGAGTTCTGGGAATAGTTAATTGACGTTCTATTCCATTTCATCACAAAAATTTTTGAACTGATCAGATAAATATTCACGTCCTCGATCGGTTCGTAGAACTTTTATCTTTTATCTAATTGATTCTTAACTAAGTTTTTAAACTTTTGAAAGCATTCTAAAGCTTCTGATTTTTGGAAATCAAGAAAACATAACCATATCAAGTGAAATCATCTTAAATGTGATGAAATAAATAGCCCCATGTCTAGCCCTCACATTCATTGACCACATATGTCAGAATGAATTAGTTGCAATGGAACTTCAGCCTTATCGCTTTTCCAAATGGTTTTCTTGCTGTTTTTCCAGCTAGGCAATGTTCACAAGTAGTCAAGTCTACTTTTGTTAAGGATCCTAACAAGCCTTCTCTTGCTAGTATATTCATTCGTTGTTGGCCAATATGGCCAAGCCTTGTATGTCATACATTTACATCATCATTATTAGAAGATGTAATAAAGGAAAAACAAACATTACTATTATTATAACAACATCAAGTACTATAAAACCTCGGAAAATAACCACAACCATAGTATGTTGTGTCCAAAATAAATGGACACCATACTGGAAAAATTAAATTAAAACCAAGTTTAACAATTTCAACACGGAAATCAAATTTTGACGAATTCGGTGCATATAACACGTCATGTAGGTATAGGATTCGACCTCCACGCATGATCAATTTGCATGTGCCGATCCCTTTAACTTCCACTTTTGAATTGTTCCTACATATATCCATTTTGTTTCCTGTGTATTCGTCGAAATCCACAAGTACTCCTGTCTTTCGCTATGTGGTCTGTTGCTGCTGAATCTATAGTCCACAAAGGATGAGACTCAGTTAGAAAAACAGAACTGGAAACATTTTATAACTTACTTGTGCAAACAAGTAATTTACCTTCTTCGGCTCGCTACAATCGCGAGCAAAATGTCCCTTGTTACCACAATTATAGCATTCACCTTTGCCATATTCCTCTTCCTGGCAGGATGCTTTCCTTTCTGTGTTTGAAGAATTTTCTCTTCTTCCCTTGAGCCTTTTCATATTGCCTTTTCTTTGGGATCCCCTTGGAATTTACGTTTAAATCCCTTCCCACCATGTGAACTGGAACCAGCCATATACACATCAGTATTGCCTTACCTCATTAGGCGATCTTCTTCCAGTTCCAAATGGCGTATGGCATCTTCTAAATTTCTGATGCCCTCATTGTGGGTAAGGTGTATTTTCATATGTTTCAATTTTGAGGCAATGATCTTATGACAGCTTGAACCTGTTGTTCATCTGTTAGGACATGACCTGCATCTCTTAACTCACTTATCATGTTTGACAAATGCCGTAAATGTACTCTCATAGTATGTTCAGGCTTTTTCTTATATGTGCAAATTTGATAGTGAGTGATCGGAGTTTGATAATGGACGTACCACCAAACTTTGTAGCAGTGCGGACCACATGTCCTTTGCTAATTCATAATCTCGGTACTTCTTTATGAGATCATTGTCCATGCTGCTCAACAAAGTAATGCGAGCAGTGGAATTCTTCTTCTTCCTATGTCATAACGGCACAGTCTCGTCATGTTGAGCCGTGACTCCCTCTTCAGGCTCTTCCATGGTTGTAGTAAGAGCTTCAAGAACCTCTTGTTCTTCCAAAACATATTGATTTTCATGCTCCATATCTCATAATTGTCGTCGTTGAATTTTTCTCCTTTGTTAAGTTCGGCGACAATGTTCTTAATGCAGATGCCATTTCTAAACAAAATTACACGTTGGATATGCATGTTATTCAATGCTCGACATACATGTTCATTTATTAATTATACAATAATAATTGTATATTAGATTTGGAATCAAAAGTTAACAATGTCAACAATCATCATCCAAATTTCCAATTTCCAATTATCATAGATATAATTAATTGCAATCTAAAAATATATTTAGTCACAATTATGTAAATATAAATCAACATCAATTCACTAAAATTTTAAATTTTAAATAACAAAATTAATTACATTATGTAAATAGAATTCAACTTGTATAAAATTAAAACAAACAAATTCCAAAACAACCAAAAAAAAAAAAAAAAAAATAAGTGTACCCCACATTCCTAAAACTGGAGGATCTGATAATCCTTCCTAAGGTCTTTATCTAACTTGTAATTAACCCTAGGTAGGACTCCCAGTTTTCTTGTGATGTCCTTTCAGTGGAGACTCTTATAGATGCCCCAGCTGTCTTTTTTGCACCCCAATCTATGTACTCCTTGATATGTTGTTGACAAACGTCTATAATTTTTATTGTCATCTTAAATTTATGAACTTTCAGCTTGGTCCAACCATATCAAGGAGACAACGAGATTGTAACCAAGAGTCTCTCTTAGAATGGATTTCGACTCATCTTCCTTTAATCCCCCTATCCAAACATTTCCTGAATCTTTTCATTCACTGATGAAATGATTTACGAGTTGCACCAACTCATCCTCTGTGTCTCTTAAAATCAATGTGTGAGTTTGTAAAGTTATAATCATGTTCATAACCCTTTCCCTTTGAGAGCAGTGTTCTAGCAACCATTGCACTCTATAAGTAACATTTTTCTGTAACAAATACAAAAAAACTTTTATTTATCAAATAAAGGTTATATATTTGATAAATAATACACTGTTTATGGTTCAATAACAAATTACGCATAACAATATACCAAGTATGCATTTTTATTCTTTACAACAAAAAAAAAAAATTACAATACTTCACGCGCCCCCACGCACCGACAGAAGCTGTCACGCGCCCCACGCGCCGCCCAGAAGCGGCAACGCGCCGACAAATCCCCACGCGCCGGAAGGAGCTTCCACACGCGCGTCACGTGCTCACCACAAATACGGGTCGGGTCAACCCGTTCATACTAAACCGGGTCTATCCTGACCCAGTTGGCCCGTTGACTTTTCGGGTCGGGTCTTACCAGGTTTGCTAATCCGTTGACCTTGCGGGTGGGTTGGTCGGGTTTGACTGACTCGTTGACTTTACGCATCGGGTGTGACCGGGTTTGACTGACCCGTTTGACTTTGCGGGTCGGGTTTGGCTCATTACCGGGTTTGGCTAACCCGTTCGTCATATGGGTCGAGTCCACGGGTCAACTTGACCCATTTATTTATTTGGATTATGGGTTGGGCCGGATAGCAATATAATGGGTTTGTGAATATGGTTAACACCAAAACGAAATTAGCCCAGTGGTTAGGGTATTGGGCTTCAACCATGGAGACTTGGGTTCAAGTCTCACCACCCCCGCTTATTTGAATTTTTTTTCAAAAAAAACTAACAGGATAAAAAACGACATGTCATTCTAAGGGTGGATCGAAACGACCTTCGGTTGTGTCGTCTTCAACCTCTGTCCGGGTCTGCAACTGGGTACCGACCCGGAAATCACCCATTCGAAACCCGAAACTTCAAAGAGCATATCTAAGTCATTTTAACTCCATTTTTTATGATTCAAAAACCATTTTCTTCATAATTTCATAAGGAATTTAATGTTCTAAATCATTACCAAAAAAACAACTTTTTACATACAAATTTGGAAAAATCAGAACTGCATTTGAAAAAAAAACCATAACATGCTTCAACATTACAGTATGAATTTCAAACATATGAACCACGGCTCTGATACCAATGTTGGAAATTAAATAGAATAACATTATCCTAACATAATCCCAGATCATAGTCACCATTGCATCACATTTGTACTAAATGAACTACATGAATTAACACAGACATAATACCTCATTTCCTTATCTCTGAAGCAACAAAGTAACTGGAAGAAAAACCACAAATCGTATTTCTATTTCCAAATTCTAGAGAGAGAGCGTATAATTTCCGCGTTTTTTAGAGTAACAGTATAAGTAACACAAAGAAAGAATTTTTCTTTATAAGTAGCGGTTAGAGAGAAACTGCATTTGGCAGTTTCATCTCACACACGTCGCTTGGGGGGTAACCCATCATGGGTGTACCCCTTATCTAATACAACCAAAGCAAGAAATCTCTCTCCCATTCCTTAATTCTCATTCACCAAAAAAAAAAAAAAAACAAAAAACACCTCTCCATCCTACTTACAAAACAAAAACAAATACTTCCATTCTCTTATTATCTCTCTTTCATTTTCATTTGCTTTTCTTCTCTTCTAGAATCGAAAATGGTGGAGCCACCGGAATATCGCGGGTATCGTGAGCTGTCGTTCCGGTTGGCAATGGCTGGCCGCTCCAATTTGGCGTCAATTATGTATATGGTGTCAAATCCCACATTGAAAGCGTATTGGGGAGTCTTGGGCTTACAAATGGGGGGAGTCCCTCCACCTAATAGGTTAGCCTTTTAGGTGTGAAACTCCCAGCCCGTGACAAGTGGTACAGAGCAGACCCAATCCGTCTTTCGATGTCCGTCAAGCGCCACGCAGGGCGTCCACGTTGATTGTGGGTTCCACACGACAGTGAGGTGGATGGTAGGTAGGGGGCCCCCCTGTGATGAGGGCGTCACAGGATTGGGTGGGGAGAATGAACAAATCCCACATTGAAGCGTATTGGGGAGTTCTGGCTTATAAATGGGGGGAGTCCCTCCACCTAATAGGTTAGCCTTTTGGTGTGAACTCCCAGCCCGTGACAATGGGCAACTACAATACCAACTTCGACGACCTTGAAAAAGAAGTTCGGAAGTCTGAAGATCGCAAGAGACATAGTTCAGCGTAAGGTCAATGATGCTACAAAAAATTTGGAAATGACCGAATTGGATGTTGAGAACTGGCTGCATAATGTGAATTCCGTCATTAATGAAGCCGATGAGTTACTTCAAAAGAAAGCTGACAACAGCGGCTGTTCCTGTTTCAATCCTAGCTTAATCACCCGCTACAAACATGGGAAAAAAGCATTCAAATTAATGAAGGATAATATTTCTCCACTCTTGCAGGAAAAAAGGGACATGGGAACTGAAATGTCCTATCCCGTTATCCTCCAGGAAACTTGGGCTACACCTGAAAAAGGTTACACCCCTTTTGAATCAAGAGAGTCCACGTTGAAGGAGATAGTGAAGGCGTTAAATGACTGTAACGTCAACATGATCGGAGTTCATGGGATGCCTGGGGTCGGCAAGACAACTCTGGTAAAGGAAGTATTGAGGCAAGTCGAAAAAGACAAGTTGTTTGATAAAATGATATTCATTGAGATAACTCAGACGGTCGAGACAAGGATGATTCTAACAAAAATAGGTAATAAGTTAGGCATGCGATTAACAAATATTGACATTAGTGACATGAAAATGATGTTGCATGCTCAATTGAAGAACATGGAGGAGAAGATTTTGATCATTTTAGATAATGTTTGGGAAGTTCCTGATTTGGAGACTACAGGAATTCTTGAAGCAGTTGATGAAGAGAAATGTAAAGTGCTTTTGACAACAAGAGGGCGAGATGTGTTGAAGAGGATGGGTTGTAAAGTTTTCGAGATTGGGATTTTAAGCGAAGAAGAGAGTTGGAGGCTGTTTAAGAACACGGCAGGGCCAGGTGATCATCACTCCTTGCTTTTTAAAAATTTCCAATATTCTAAGGTTAATGTAATACATACAATGTTGGAATTCCAAACTTGTATCTTAACTCACTTAGTAATTAATTTGAGATAGATAATGAAAAAAATTAGAAAATTATTATTTAAGAAGGAAATATTATATTTTCTAATTTTTTTTTTTTTTTTTTTTTTTCAAAGAAAGAAAGAGTATATACATGATAACTTAACATTGTTTTAATCTTGATGAAAAGATAAGTAAAATTATTTGTAATTTATGAATTTAGAAAAATAGAGGGTGTAGGAAACTTCTAACAATAATGTCTCTTTATATTTATTTTTCTTGAATCATGATATTAATAATTATTCATATTTATACCAAAAAAGTATTTGAGGAGTTCGAAAATTAATTTCTAAGATTAACGGCTTTTTTGTTTTTTCAACATATACACATATTTTAATTATTTTAATTTAAAATCTAAAAAATTTCATCCTAGGTGATACGTCGTCTTATGTGCTTTTAACATATCACTTACTATCTCAACTTTTCTTTTATACATCAAAACCATATAAGATGACACATTGGGATGAAAAATTCGTGATACTATTTGGAAAGTGTAGTATTATTTTTCGTCGTAAAAAAAAAAAAAACTCTTTTTAGGGGTTAAATTAAAAGTTGACATCTTCATAATTGGTTTAGTGGCTTCTCTAGTGCCAGAGTAAAAAAAGTTTTTTATTTATTTCATTTCTTATTTTTATAAAGTTGTAATAACTTTATACATATACTATTCCTTTTTAAAATATTATATTATATTTATATAAAAATATAATTAGTTAATTTATTTGTTAGTCTAAATAAATTTTAATAATTAATTTTCTAATTTTAACTTGGAGAATAATTAAAAAAAAAAAACTATAAATTGTACAATGCTCGAGTGGAACCACTTTAACGGTAGAGTAGCTAGAATGAAGACATGAATTCAAAGTTATGGAAGTAAAAATTAAAAAATAAAAATAGATGAAAATTTTATTTACCAAATAAATTTTAAAATAGAGGAAACTATTTTAAAATTGAATAATATTACATGCATGTATAAACTTTTCATGTAAACTTTTCATGTATTAATATGATTTGATGAATTTAAAATAAAAATAATACAACATATACAAATTTTTCATACAAACTGATGTGTTTTAATACATTAGATGATTTTAAATTAGGAATAAACTTAACAAATTAGAAAAGATGATGTGTCAAGTATAGATGGTTGTCACATCACTTTGTAAGAAATAGTTTGTACAATTAATTTAAACATGTAGTATTACTCTTAAATTAAAGATAATTTAACTAGATCAGAATAGATAATAAGTTAAGTAGACATGGTTGTTAGTTAGTTTACAGGGAATAGTTTATATAATTATATTGTATATAGTTTATATATGTAAGAGTAATGTTATGTTTACTTATGATCTTACTAACCATTTTACTATCCTTTGTAAATATAACAAATAGTACAGTTACCATACGCATAGTATGGATATTATATGTAATTTTAACAAAGGTAATAAGATGGTTAGTAAACTCGTGAGTAAGTATAGCATTATTTTGTATATGTAAAGTGCAATTACTCTTTAAAATTCTAGCACCCCTAATGTTTTGGAAACGCTCACTTAGATAGCGAGTATTACATTTTTATACAAATTGCCCCCATTGTTTCAGAAATTAATTAATTATTACCCCTGGGGCCGGGGCTGGCATCCTGGCACCAACTCCGTTAGCAGACTGTTAGACCTCGAGGGGCGAGGATATAATTACAAATTTTGTTGACCTTTATTCATATTTGTTTACTTATACAAAAATAAAAAAAATTTATCTCTTCCCTGAATTACCCTTCCCTTCCCCTCCCCCTCTCCCTCAACATGACACTTCCGCCGTGAAACCCCCCACGCAAGCAAACAAGCACCCCACTGGCCCACACCCAAAAGGAGCACCCACCGATGACCCAACCTTCCTTGCTCTGCCCTGAAGCAAAATGCTTCACCTGGCTGCTCCTCAAAACCCCTTGATTTTTTCTCAATTTAAGTGATTGTTGGTCGTTTTGGCCGTGTTGAGATTAGATTTTGAGCTGCATTGCAGCCCACGCTCCTCGACAATCACGCCTTGCTACTGTGCGTATCCATTATCTCTTTTTTTATCCTCAACTTCATGCCTCATCTTCATCTCTTTCCAAGAAACCAATTTCTTTTATTATTGTTGAGTTTGAATTAGGAATGGGTTTGGTATCTAATGTGTTTTTTGATTTAATGGAGATGGTGGGTTTTGTTACAATTATAAGGTCAGAAAGTGAACCAGTGGCCACACCCACCCAATCTTCAGTGGGTTTGTTAAATCTATGAGTTGATTGTGTTCTCGTCAGATTTCAAGTTTCTGGATTCCAAGTTCTGAATTTTGGGTTTGTTTAATGAAAACTTTGTGTTAGGTTTCTGTTCTTGTCAGATAATCCCAAGTCCTGGATTTTGAATTTTAATTTGGATTTGCTTCAGAATTTTCAATCTATTAAAATACTATTCCATTTGATGCTTTGGTCGTTAACGAGTTTCTTTTTCTTCTTATTATTAATTTTAAATTTCATTATTACATATTTTTGTTTTGGGGTAATTTTTATTTTTTGGGTTGTCTTAATATGTGTCTACTTACAAATTTTGTTAGCCCACTCGAAATATATATATATTTGGTTCCGCCACTGTTTCCATTTCATTAACTTTTGATCTTGGTTACCCTACAGGTCATGATTTTATTAAAGCAAGTGAGGTAGAATCTTTGGCAAAAGACATTTGCAAGAAATGTGGACGTTTGCCCATTGCCATTGTTACTTTAGCAAAAGCATTAAAGAATGAGTGTGATCCACGCCAATGGGAAGAAGCCTTGCAACAATTGAACAAGTCTTCCCGAACAAACTTCGAAGGAGCTTTGAAAATGGCATATTTATCAATAGAGTTGAGTTACAATTACTTAAGAGGTGAGGAACTCAAAAAAACTTTTTTGCTTTGTAGTCTAATGAGCCATCAAGCTTCCACTTTAGACTTGGTCAAATATGTTTTGGCTTTGGATATATTTGAGCGCTTTAATACAGTAGAAGAAGCACTGAATAAAGTACATACATTGATCAATGAACTTAAAGTCTCTTGTTTATTGCTTGATAATCAAACCAACACATCATTTTCAATGCATGATTTTGTCCGTGAAGTTGCCTTATCCATTGCAAATAGAGACGATCATGCATTTTCGGTAAGAAATGAGTTTGATTGGGAATGGCCTAGTGAAGATAAACTAGAAATTTGTGAAAAGATCTTCATTCATGATAGCATTATTAGTGATCAGCTTGGTGATGAACTGGAATGTCCAAAACTTGAATCTTTCTTCATGAATAACAACAATTCTTACATTGAGATACCTGAGAAGTTTTTCTCAGGGATGAGAAAGCTCAAAGTTTTAGATTTGACTGGATTCCGGTTGTCCTCTTTGTCGTCATCCCTTCATCTCTTAGTAAACCTTCAAACATTGTCTCTGAAGTATGGTACGTTTGAAGATGTAACCATTATTGGAAAGCTAAAGAAATTAAAAATTCTTATCTTACAAGGTTCAAATGTTAAGCAATTGCCAAAAGAAATAGGTCATTTGACTAAGTTAAAGTTGTTAGATTTAAGCTATTGTCAACAATTAGAATTTATTGCACCAAATGTGATATCAAGCTTATTTAGATTGGAAGAATTGTATATGAGACAATGCTTTGCTCTATGGAAGGATAAAGGAGAAAATGTTGAACAAAGTAACGCTAGCCTTCATGAGTTAAATCATTTGTCTCGTCTCACCACTTTGGAAATAGATATTAAAGTTGAAAATATATTTCCAATAGACTTGTTCTCGAAAGAGATGAAAAGGTACAAAATATCCATAGAAGATCAGTCGTCCTCATATTGTATGTCATGCACATACAGAGAACATTGGAAAATCAAGAGTTTTGATGAGCTTGAGACTTTTAGAACAGTGAAACTGGAGCATAATTCTATCATTTGGTCTGGGAGATTACGATGCTTCAAGAATGTTGAATTCTTATGCTTAGGCAAACTTCAGGGCATCAAGAATGTTCTTACTGGATTAGACGAAGAGGGTTTTTCACAATTAAAAGTTCTCCATGTCCGCGATAATCCTAACATCTTGTGTATTGTTGACTCAACAAAGTGCATAGCACATGATGCCTTTCCCAACTTGGAGTCACTGGTTCTTTTTGATTTGATTAACTTGGAGACCGTATGTTGTGGTCATCCCACAACAAAGTCATTCTGCAACTTACAGATCATAAGTATAGACAGATGTGAAAAATTGGAAAATATTTTCTCATTTTCCAATACTAGAAGCCTTCAACAACTTCAAAGAATGAGTGTGACTGCTTGCAAGAATTTGACAGAGATATTTGTTCTTGATAGAGAAGATGATAACGACAACAATGAAGTAATTGAATTTTGTCAATTACGCTTTTTGACACTCTATTATCTTCCACGGCTTACAAGCTTCTATTCTCTAGTAAAGAAGCCTGCAACATTGCGAGAGAGGCAAAAGGATGAGCCCAAATCACTTTTTACAAGCTTCTATTTTGAAGCTGCACTAAAGAAGTTTTACGCAGCATTAATACAGAAGAGGCATGCAACATTGCCAGAGAGACAAAAGGATGAGCTCACATCACTTTTCAACAGAAAGGTTTGGTCAACTATAACCTTGTACTTGTCTATTAAATACTCTTATATCCTTCCTTGTGCTTTTTTTCATTTGTTTAACATATATAAACAAGACTAGTATATAAATATGTACCATTCGTTTGTTCTACTAATTTTTACATCAATTGTTCTTATAATTTAAAATTCATGGCAGTACTTATTACTTGTCATATTTACATCCATGAGAATCATTACTTCTCTACTTTATAGTAGAATTATGTTGAAATGACAATTAACTTTAACTCCAGGTTGTTTTTCGAGATTTGGAGGCCTTGGAATTGAAAACAATTGATTCTGGGAAGATTTGGGACCGTCAATCTCTGACATTAATGTCTTCTTCTTATAAAAATTTAACACGCTTGATCGTTTCAGATTGCAATAAACTCAAATATGTTTTTCCATCTTTTATAGTCAAAAGCTTTGACCAGCTGCAACACCTTGAGATAAATGATTGTAAAGTTTTAAAGGAGATTGTTGAGAAAGGAGGAGGAGAAGGAGAAGAAGCTACTAAGTTTTTCTTTCCGCAAGTAACCTTCTTGAGTCTTAAACAGCTACCTGAACTAGAAAGTTTCTATCCTGGAAGACATACTTCTGAATGGCCAATGTTAAAGAACTTGGAGGTGTGCTATTGTGACAAAGTAAAGATATTCAATTTACAAAGTATTGAGGAGCAACTAGACATTTCAGTGCCACAATCTCTCTTCTTGTTTGAAAAGGTACGAATCTCTTTCTTCGTTTATTGAATTAGAGAAAGTTATCTTAAGAAATCCAACACGCTGATGTTTGATTGATCTATAGATTAACCCCCATTTGGAGACATTGACATTAAGCAAAATGGACAATGTAACAATATGGCAAGGCCAGTTGCCAAGTAACCAGTTTTGCCGACTTAAAGTTCTTAGGGTTGGGCGTGATGAATCACAATTTATACGTTCATATAAAGAAATATTCTCATATCGAGAAGAGGAGAACCATACTGAGACACCTACACAGATGGGAATGAGTGTTTTTTATCTTCAGAATCTTGAAGATCTTCACGTGTTTGAGTGTGACAAATTGATGAATCTAGCACCATCCACTGTATCTTTCTATAATCTAACAGTTCTGAAGGTAAGGCATTGCAATGGAATGATGAACTTAATAACATCTTCAACAGCCAAAAGCTTAGAGCAATTGAGAGAAATGGAAATAGAAGCATGCAAAATGATGATAGAAGTAGTAGCAGAGGGAGATGCAGGAAGAGATGAAATAATTGTTTTCAAAAATTTGGAGTCTCTGTTACTTGATCATTTAGTAAGTCTTAAATGCTTCTGTTCTGGGAATTGCACTTTCGAATTTCCAGCTTTGGAAGATTTACGAGTGAAGAATTGCCCCAGGATGAAGATTTTTTGTGGAGGAGTCTTAAAAACACCAAATTTAAAAGATGACCTTAATGCAACTATACGACAATTATACAAATTATACAAGAAAAGGGGTAAGTTTCTTAAATGTTCTGAATTCAAAACATTCTCATGATAATATAAGTGTTCTTGAAACTATAGACGAAAACTCATGACAACCATTTGTACATATGATTTTATGTTTTTGTTTTTCTTATATCCTGTTTCTTTGGGATTATGTGCAGAGAGATGGCAACTGATTGTAATTTTTCTGTGGAGTATAGTTGTTATGATCTACTTGAACCTATCTCCCAGGTATTTTTTTTGGTTGAATGTTTTTCATTTGACATCATTGTTGAATGTTTTTCATTTGATATCACCGATTGTTAAGTTGCCATCTCACCTAAAGGGTGTTTTATATATATATATATATAATTTGTTAATGTTTTTTATTTGACATCACTGATTTTTAAGTTGCCATATGTGTTTCATTTGACATCACTGATTATGTTGCCGTCCCACCTAAAAGGTTAAGGTGGTGGGTGAGGGCTCAACATTACTTGGATTTTTTTTCATTTCCTTTGATCTAGTTGGATGTGGGGATTCAAATTTTAAACCTTTGCCTTTGATACCATATTAAGCTGTCGTCCCACCTAAAAATTTAAGCTAATAGGTGAGGGCTCAACTTTATATTAATCCAATAGGCCCCTGCACAATAAAAATATTGAAGTACTAGTAGCAATGAGATTCCCTAATATCATGCTATTGAGGTTTTTATTCCCCACAGCCCCCCTCGTAAGCCATGAGGAAGGTTTACATGCCCTCATGGTTTTTGAAAAGTATTATATATCCCCATATCTGAAGGTTTTTTGATATTTTATAAGGGGGTAAATGATAATTTAGGAAGGTACATAATGCTTTTGCAAAATCTGACGGCGTTTAAAACTTCGTCATCTCTTAAGGGGTAGATAATAAATACCCCTTCTTTTGAACGCTTTAGTTTTTTTTGCTAAAACAATATTTAAGTATTTAACCACTTCATCAAAACGATACTGTGGATAGTTGATCTCCACTGTGGATAATTTTAAAAAAAGTGCTTAACCTTCAGCTACTTCATTACCCAAGCGTTTTAATTTTCAGAAAAACATGTGCATAATGCTTCTCTCCAGAAACAATTTAAGTGACCTTTTGATCTCAAATATATTTATGCCTGTTTCAATATTTTCATGATATAAATAAATATTTGGACATTTGAAAGCTTTTAAACATTTTATGAAACTATTTTGCAGGCGCTTTCTATTTCTATTTAAAGTTAATGCTGTTCAGTTGATTCTTGATGGAATATGGAGACAATCATATTATTCATATTTTAGAGCAGGTGAAATTGATTTTGCCTTTCAAAATAATCTAAGTACTATTGTTAATTAGGCAATCTGCTTATAAATCTCAATTTGCCTTTTCTTTTCTGTAGCTGTATTTGCCGCAATAAGTCACTGTTACAGTCTAGTACTTCGCGACGAGGTCAGTATTCATATCATGTCAGTCATATCATAAATTAATATAAGCTTAATTGGTTTATTAATTTGACAGAAAATTACAATATTTGAATGGCTTTACGAAAAGCTGATAAGAATAATCCTACTCATCTGCACCCTTTTTCTACTTTGGCTTAAAGCCATGTCCGCGTCGTCCCCTTCTAGGTGGGAAAGGTATGAGATCCATTTTTTTTTTTTTTTTTTTTTTTTAATACTTCTAACTAAGATGCACCTTGTTAATCTTAATTATTTAAAAGTGGTTATTGGTGAATTTTGAATTTATTAATTATATTGACACTTGTTCAATTCAGTATTATACCAACAGTAGTATTTTTGACATATTCTTGTGAATTATGACATGATTTTTGGGTTGTTTTGATGGAAATCGATTTTTGATGAAATGTAGGTTGCTGCAGTTCATGTTCTTTAGTGATTCTCTTGAAGACTATGGTCTCTAGGCCGTTTCAATAAGATATGGCAAATATATAATGTAATTACATGCAACAATTTTACTTGTGCTAACTCTTTTAAATTGATTAATGTAACGTTTTGATTTCATTACTTTATAATGTTAATGTGGATGGTAAACTATTTTTCAGTTTTCAATGATGGATCATTTGGATAGAGTTTTAAAAAGAAAAAGAGGCTTGCATGAACATTTTATGATCATTTTGGGTTCTAGGATTTTGAGAAGTACTCTTAGTACCGTTTTACTTCGATTAATAAGTATGTGTTTAGTTGATTACTTTTTATATATATTTACGTGGATGTTATTCTATTTTCACAATTATGATGAGATGGCTCTTAACATTCTATATCGGTCCTTTCCTAGTTAATGTTCTACAAGTTTTGAACTGGATATTGTTTACATGGATACTTTTACAAGTATGGAGTTTATTATACAATATACCCTAAACAATTAAATTTCTTTAGTTAATGTTCTACAAGTTTTGAACTGGATAGTGTTTACATGGATACTTTTATAAGTTTGGAGTTTATTACACACTAAACAATAAAATTTGTTTCTTGAAGATCTGTAAGAAACTTCATGCCGGAAAGGTTAGAAATTGATTAATCACAGTGATAGAATGAAAGAAGAATAAGAGAATTACAAATTTATCATATAAATATTATAGATTACTCAAAATAATTTGTTTATTTAATTTTGCTTTTAGATTTTAGGGTATTCATATGTGTACCCTCAATGACAACAAAAACAATATCCATTATCACCTTTTTGCTTCACATCTCATCGCATTTTGTTGTTTACTAATAAAGTCAAATGTTTATTTAAAGTAATGGGGTCATCCCAGAAAGACTTTTACACGTAGCTTATATTCCGTTGGTTGGATTGTTGATTGCAATCTTTTTGTTTTTGCTTTTGTCTAAATGCTGTCTTCAGTTTATATCAACCACTCCCACTCATCGCCTCTTTCATTTGATTCCAAGAAATTTCACATTCCAAAGTAACCTCATGGGTTAAATCATCTCTGATTCTTTTTAGTCAAGAAAATTATTACTTGGCTATTGTTTCATTGTTGTTTTCATTCATACTTCCATCCATCACTAATTCATTCAGTTTGTGTCTTCTCTTCTAGTTTTTGAACATGAAAGGGAAGTACAAGGAAAAAGGGAACGGAATTGAAAATGGTGGAACCTACCGGAAATATTGCCAGTATCGCGAGTGCTGTTCTCCCTGTGGGCAAGTGGGTAACTTATCCGGTTGGGTGTCAAATTAAGTACGCAATCAACTATAAGAGCAACTTGGAGAAACTGGAAACAGAAGTTTGGAAGCTGAAGGATGCAAGAGAAGAATTGAAGGGGAATGTGGATGCTGCTAAAAAAAATATGGAAAAGATCAAACACAGTGTTAAGGTATCGCAGGAGAAGGCGAATTCAATCATTGATGAAGCTGAGAATTTGATTGAACAAAAAAACAACAGCTCTTCCAATCCTGACTTCATCATGCGCTACAAGCATAGTAAGAAAGCATTCAAATTAACGGAGGATAAGATTGCTCAACTCTTGCAGGACAAAAGGTAATGTCTCCTATTCCGCCATTATTCTGGAGGTCTGATTGCTTGCAGCTGACAAAGATTATGATCCTTTCTTATTCAGAGAGTCCACTTTGAAGTAGATAGTGAACTTGTTGAATGATAATAATCTTTACATGTTAAGGATTAATGGGATGCTTGGCGTCGGCAAGACAACGCTAGCTAAGGCAGGCAGCTGGTCGGCAAGTGAAGGAAAAGAAGTTGTTTGGTGAGGTGTAAAGAATGTTCTTTATGAATTAGACAAAGAGGGGTTTTCGCAATTGCAACTTCTCCATGTCCACAATAATCCTAGCCTCTCATGCATTGTTGACTCAACAAAGAGGATAGCTCATGATGCCTTCCCCAACTCTGAGATGCTATATCTTTTCAATTTTGAGTAAGTTGCAGAACATATTTCGTGGTCATCCCACAACAAATTCTTTCGACTGCTTAAAGATCATACTAGTGGAAATTTGTAATAAATTGGAAAATATCTTCTCATTTTCCTATGCTAGAATCCTTCCAAAACTTGAAATAATTGAGTGTGGATGATTGCAAGAATTTGAAAGAGATTTTTTCCAATGAAAGAGAAGATCACAACAACAATGAAGTAATTGAAAGTTGTCAATTACGCCATTTGACCCTCAAATCTAAGGGTGAGCAGTTCCGAGTACTCTGCATTTTTCGAGAGAACTGGAACCGCATAGTGCAGGGTCTCAAAAAAAGGAATCGGAACCAAAACTGCACAGTACAGGTTCTTAAATTCAAGGAACCAGAACCTAAAATGCAAGTTCTGGTTCCTTTCTCGGGTATCTTGTAAAAAATCAATTACCCTCCTATTAGTTTAAAAATGACAAAAATACCTTAAAAGTTATACACCTTAAAAAAATTTGATTACTCATTCATTTGTGTCCAATGTGACTCATAAATCCTCTAATCTCTAGGTAACATTTGAATTCAATCAATTCATCACAATTCACATAAAATTTCTCGATCAAAACCAAAACACAAACACAAACACAAACAATTAATTAAACAATCATACTATAAATATATAATTTAATATTATAATTAATTAAATTTCTAATCATTTAATTAAGTATTGTACTAATGTTTATAATGGAATATTATAATTAATTAAGTAATCATACTATAAATCTATAATGTAATGTTATAATTAATTAAATTTTTAATCATTTAATTAAGTAATGTACCAATGTAGTAAATTACTAATTTTTATAATATAATGTTATAAATTTATAATTAATTAAGTAATCATTTAACTATGTAATGGTATAATTAATTAAGTGATTATAATATAATGTAACGTTATTATTAATTAAGTAATTAATGTAATATTTTAATTAATTAAATTTCTAATCATTCAATTAAGTAATCATATTATAAATTTATAATGTAATGTTATAATTAATTAAATTTCTAATAATTTAATTAGGTATTATGCTAATGTACTAAATTACTAATGTTTATAATGTAATGTCATAATTAATTAAGTAATCATGTCATTATATAATGTTATAATTAATTATGTGATCATACTATAATGTAATGTTATAATGAATTAAGTAATCATACTATAAATCTTTAATATAATATTATAATTAATTAAATTTCTAATCATTTAATTAACTCTTGTACTAATGTTTATAATGGAATGTTATAATTAATTAACTAATTATTTAATTAAGTAATCATTTGTTTATAATGCAATGTTATAATTAATTAAATTTCTAATCATTTAATTAAGTATTGTGCTAATATAGTGAATTACTCATGTTTATAATATATGTCGTAATTAATTAATTAATCATTTAATTATGTAATGTTATAATTCATTAAGTTATAATGTAATGTTATAATGAATTAAGTAATTATACTATAAATCTTTAATTTAATTTTATAATTAATTAAATTTTTAATAATTTAATTAAGTATTGTACTAATGTTTATATATAATGGAATGTTACAATTAATTAACCAATCATTTAATTAAGTAATCATTTTTTTATAATGTAATGTTATAATTAATTAAGTAATCATTTAACTAGTAATGTATTAACGTTTATAAATTTATTTATATAATTAATTAATTACTAATTTACTACATATATACTTAAAACTTGATAATTGAAGTAAATAACTAAATATTATATTATTATTCAATCAAATATACTATTTTATTCAAAAATAATTCTTTTAATAATATTAAAATAATTTCAATTGGTCCTAATTCCAATTATATACTTAATTAATCAAAACTTTAATATTAATATATTATAATATATTTAAGTTTTTTATATGGTATAGTTTATATATAATAAGTATAATTGTATATTTATTTAATTAGGTTACTGTAAAAATTTAACTTTTTCCATTTTAATTTTTTTATATGTAAATTACAATGGACCCCCATTCTTCATAGATATTTTATTTTAGCCCAAGTTCCAAAACATGGTATCCATTGCAGGTTCCAAGCTGGGTATCCACTGTAGGTTCCAAGCTGGATACCCACTGTAGGTTCTTTCTTTCAAGTTCAGGTTCTGGTTCCGGTTCCTCCACATGTAGGAACCGGAACCGAAACCTACCCACACGGTGTTAGTTTTGGTTAGGTTTTGGTTTCGATTCTACCCGCAGGTTCCAGTTCTACCCGCTGCCCATGCTCAACCCTAATCAAATCTCTTCCACAACTTACAAGCATCTATTCTGAAGGAAAGAAACCATCAACATTGCAGTAGAGACAGAAAGATAAGCTTGATGATACTCTCATGCCACTTTTCAATAGAAAGGTTTGATTGACAATAACCTTATATATTCTAGTCTATATGTATTCTAATTTTTTCATGGTTACAATTTTCATTTGTTAACATATATACAAAATTAAATTCCTAGCAAAAAAAGGTGAAAGAAAAATCCCACATATATAGGCTGCGTTTGGTTGCCAATTGGGAATACTACTTTTAGTATTCCCAAAAAAGTTAAATAGTAAAATACCCAAAAACTCTTATTTTTGGGAATACTATTTTCAATATTATTCAATTTTTTTTAAACCCTCTAAATTTGTTAATTTGATTAAATACCCCAAAATATTTTTTTTTTAAATTACAAAAACACCCCAATAATCCACATTTACCAGATTTCGGCCACCACAGCCGGAAAATGGCCGAAATCTGGTAGGATGGCGCACTACCGGCTGAATCTGGTTGGTAGTGCGCCGATCTAGCCTTTTCCGGCCAGATCCACAGTGGATCTGGCCGGAAAAGGCCAGATCTAAGGCCAAAGATCTGGTCGTTGACGACCAGATCTTTGGCCGTAACAGTCGGTCACGACGGCCAAACAAACGGTCGTCGTTGACCATCAACGATGACCATTTGTTGGCCATCGTTGAGAGCAAATACGGCCAGATCTGGCGGTTGACGGCCAGATCTGGCCTTTGCCGGCCAGATCCACCGTGGATCTGATCGGAAAAGGCCATATCGACGCATGACCGGCAAGATCCAACCGGTCATGTGCCCATAAGACGATTCCGGCCACCTCCGGTGGTGGTGGCCGACTGGGGGTGTTTGAGGGTGGGTTAGGGGTATTTTTGTTAACTTTTAATGTTTTATTATAGGGGGTATTTTGTAAAAAAACAAATATATGGGATATTTTATTAATTTATAAATTCTACATCGTAATACCCGCCCAATTTAACTTTTTTTAACTTTTTTCAAAAAACTTTTCCCAAAACCCCAAAATTTTGAACCAAATGGAGCCATAACTCTTAACATAATATAAAATTTTCCATGCATGAGTTTCAAGTATTAGATTAATATATTGTCAAGCCCTCAATTATTAGATTAAACTTTTAGGTGGGATGATAACTGGCGCCTAATGGGCTAATATAATGTCAAGTCTTAGAGCATTTTCATTAGTGTTTTTTATTTTAAAGAGTACATTTCATATAAGTAAAGAGGATCTTCATTAATTTCTAAATATAAATAACAAAATTTATATTCAAATCTAATAGACTTTAAATTAGACTTAATAAATGGGGGAGAGAATTAATAATAAAATGAATAAAACTTGTAATTTATTAAATAAAATTGAGATTAGAGCTGGGCATTTGGGACCGGGCCCAAAAGCCCAGCTCCAAAAACCGGTCCTAGGAGGCCTGGTCCCAAAACGGGACCAGGCCTTAGGAGGAGGGCCCGGGCCCTCCACTGGGCCCTCCTCCAAGTCCCAGGCCTGGGCCCAAAAAAATTTGTATATTTTCAATGTAGTCCCCTGTCAAATTACATAAAACCCCCTATTAATAAATAGATATAAATTACGAGGGTTAAAATGAAATTTTACAAAATTTATTGAAAAAAAAATCTTCCAGGTCTAAAAAATTTATAAATTTTATAAATTTTACCCCTAAAAAATACTAAAAACCTCCTATAAAATTTTGTTTTGCCCCCAAAATATAAAAAAAATTGAGGGGGGAAAATGAAATTGTCCAAGGCCCATTGGACTGGTCCTAGGACTGGTCCTGGGCCCATGGGACCAGTCCCGACTAGGCCTAAGGCCTGGTCCGGGTCCTGGTTTTTCTCATGGGCCTGGGACCGGTCCCAGGCCCATGAGTGACTGGTCCCATTTGGGACCAGTCCCAAGGGACCAGTCCCAAACGGGCCCAGGCCTGGGCCCGCAAGGGACCGGTCCCTTGCCCAGCTCTAATTGAGATAGAGAGTGAGATTTGACTCTCTAGATATAGAAAGTCGAACTCACTTTTTAATTTATATTTAAAGAATAAAGAGTCTATTAGAGTCTTGTTTTAATGGTTTAAGTCATACAAAGAGTCTTTTGGAGATACTCTTACCCACTACCTTAACCTTGTAAGTGGGATGGCAAGGCAACATAAAAGTCCACATATTTGAGGTTTGTACCGAAAAAATTTAGTGTGTATATATGTACATATTTGAAAAAATATTGAATTGAAAATTAACTTTTACTACAGGTTGTTCTACCCAATCTGGAGGCCTTGGAACTGGGAAATTAATACTGAAGATTTGGGATTGCCAATGTTTGACATTAATGTCTCCTGCCTATAAAAATTTAATGCGCTTGAATGTGTGGGGTTGCAATAAACTAAAGTATGTTTTCCCATCTTCTGTAGTCAAAAGCTTTGAGCAGCTCCAATGCCTTGAGATATTCAAATGTAAATCTTTAAAGGCGATTGTTGAGAAAGG